GCTGGGCCAGGCCCGGCTGCGCGAGGAGGCGGCGGCCCGGCTGCGCGACGCGCCCGCCACCGAGCCGCTGCTGGCCCGCCACCACGCCGCCCTGGTGCGCTGGCTGGAGGAGCGCCTGGGCCGCGGCGAGCGCGTCGTCAGCCTCGAGCAGCTCGGCGAGGCCCTCGAGAGCCGGGCCGGCGCCGCGCCGGGCGCCGCCGCCGAAGAGCGCGCCCGCAGCGAGGAGGTGAGCCCGCGCGTGACAGGCGCTGCGGCCCGCCGCTCTTGCCGGGCGGCCCCTTCGGCCAGGCGGCGGCGCGCCCGCGTGCGCTTCCTGCGCTTTTCCTGAGCGGCCTCGCGCTTTCTGTTGCTTTATGGTTGTCGTTACTTTTAGAGCAAACCCTTTTGTTGGCAACCGGGTAAAAAGCCGGCTTCTGCGAGCGATGTACAGGCGTTCTTAGTTGAATTCCCATGCAAGTTTAGGCAGAAGGAATTCGTAGAATGGACCTGTAAGCGAAGCTCTGCTTTTTCGCACCAGTTTTCCACCTAGGACTGTGCAAGCAGGGCATGAACAAAGACGTTCGGCTGGTGTCAGCAGGTAGACTGCTATTCATCCTGGAGGTCATAAATGGCCATCAGCACTAGCAGCTGCTGATAGCTTTCTCTTCCATGAATTCATCCCATGTCTTTTAAAGCCATCCACTACTTCTTGTGCAGGGGCAATCTATGGTTTGTCCCCTGTGGAGTCTGAGGAAGCTGGAAAATTTAGGATTCAATGTTCGTCTAAATGTGTACAAAATTATGTCCTTAGGATATTAAGGTGACTGTGTCTGCCATGGTGGTGTGTTCTGTTCTCAGCTTGTAGGTTCCTCTCGCATGGGGGCATTGTAGCTATGACTTCTGCCCTCATGAAGCAAATTGCAGCCTTGTAGCGCAGTGTCACCTTCTAGTAAGCTGTAAAGTTTGGGGGTTATATGTTGTCTGTGTACGTAGTTAGGACTGCAGCTAGGTTGTAAGCAGGGCGTGTTCCCAGTAAGCTCACAGTGCAGAATTGCAGCCTAAGGCAGATGTCACAGGCATGTGGGAAGGGGTGAGCTGTACAGTTTCCTTGGTGTTGAAGCTGCTTTAAGAGGCGCAGAACCAATGAGGAGTTTTGGCAGCAGGCAAATACATTTGTCGTTGTGAAAGCTTTGACAGGCCAGACCCCACCTCATTAGAGGAATGAAGTGACCCTTTAGAAGCAGAATAGCATGTGGTGCTAAGCGTGTCTTTCTGTGCATGTTTAAACAACTCCCATCATCCCCCAGCCAGCCATAGAGGCCCTTTTTCTGCCTCAATATGCATAGGATTGCACCTTAAATGTAATGGTTGAAATTGCATCTATTCTGTAAAGCAACAAAATTCTAGCTGCTACAGGAGACCTCACCCAGCCTGGGAAGACAAAGAAAGAGATTAACCCCCCCCCACCCCCACACACACACACGTGCACACACACCCACTGATGTCCCTATAGAAAATTGCCTGCCTCCTGACAGCTTTGGTGTGTTTGCACACTTTCCAGGCAGAAGTGCCCTTCCTGCATGCTGCAATCCCAATTTCAACAGGTGTGAGTGTGAGTTATGTGAAAGAGAGAGAGGGGCAGGATGGAACTTTCAGTGAAGCACTTGTCATTGTGAGTAGCCTGGTTGGAAAAGGGTGGGTGTGTATACCCTGAACAGAGAGAACTGAGAGTGGTGTGGGAGCAGCCAGACTACCAGTTGGACTTCCCCCATTTCTGAAAAATAATTTCAGAACGTCGACTCTCCTCTGGCCCCTTAAATACCCAATGCAAAGATAATGCACGGGGAAAAGTCCAGTGAGGACAGGTTTGCTAAGTCCCCTAATTGAACTCCTGTCTTACTTTGTTCCTGAGCAGGCTCCCTCACTTGCCTGCACAATGACACCTTGCATATTTCTAAGACCATTTTGCAATCATTTGTTTCCTTTGGGGGGTTACCACTAGTACTGGGAAAACAGGAAGCTGACTTGGGAAGAATCAAATCTCAGATCCATCTCAGCCAGTATTGTTGGAACAGATGGGCTGCAGCTTCTCTGCAGGGTTCCCGGCAGGGTTTTTTCATCCCTGTTTGGAGCTGCCAGGGATCGAACTTTGGCATTGTCTGCATGCAGAGCAAGTGCCCTGCCCTGAACCACAGCCCCCCGCTATTGAGTGGAGTTGCACTTCCCCTGAAAAGAATCTTGGGGATTCTTCTGGCCTCACCAGACACGCAGCTGGCAGAGGCTTGGAGTACCTCTGTCATCTTAGGGCAAATGCAGGCCTGTCGAGAGAGAGCGCGCCCCTGGCTTCAACGGTCCATGCTGTGGTTAGGGTTGAGGTCTGTGTCACTGCCATCTGCTTTACATGGGGCTGCCTTTGAAGACAAGTGGGCAACATCAGTGGATGCCTGTATGAGTTGTTTGTGGGGCAGATGCAAGGCACTGCTCCCCCCCTGAAGGCCCGTTCTGTGGTTCGGTTCTTTGAAGGAAACCTTTGTGTCCTCAGGGCACCAGGGGCTCAGTGTGTGGGCCGGCACTGAGCTCATACTGGCCGGTAGTCCAGAAAGGGCCTTTTCCAGGAAGTGCAAACTTGTAGAACGCTTTCCTAAGGATGTGTGGTTACTCCTGTCAGTGATGCCACCCCCCCCCCCATAGCTTTGAAGACCCATTTGTTTTGACTTGATTTTAAATATTATTATTGCATTGTATTTATACCCCACCTGTCTTCCTCTTGCAAAGAAACCAGGGTGGCTCACAGGGTTCTTCTCTCCATTCATTTGAACAACAACAATCCTGTGAGGTAGGCTGGGTTTAAAATCTGTAACTTTCATGAAATCCAGTGTGTTTCCTGGTTAGAACCTAGATCTCCCCAGTCCCAGTCTACTCTGACCACTAGCTACACTGTCTCTCTTAACTGAGCTGCCTTTATTGAATTCTGCTTGCTTTTGGGTTATTGCCTAGACTTAGAAGTACAGGCATACCTCAGAGATGCTGCAGCTTTGGTTCCAGACCACTGTAATAAAGTGAATAACTCAGTAAAGCAAGTCACACAATTTTTTTGGTTTCCTGGTGCATATAAAAGTTATGCTTACACTGAGCTGTGGTCTATTAACTGTGCAGTAGCATTATATCTGAAAAAACAATGTACATACATTAATTAAAGATGCTTTTTTGCTAACAAATGCTAACCATCATCTGCGCCTTCAGAGATCTTTTTGCCGCTGGAGGGTTTTGCTTCAGTGTTGCCGACTGATCTGGGTGGTGACTGCTGAAGTGGGGGGCAGTGGCAATTTCTTAATGAAGTTTGCAGCATCAATTGACTCTTCCTTTCACAGTTTATCTTTGTAGCATGTGATGCTGTTTGATAGTTTTTCCCCCCACAGTAGAACAACTTTCAGAATTGGAGTCAGTCTTCTCAAACCCTGCAGCTGCTTTATCAACAAAGTTTATGTAATATTGTAAGCCTTTGTCATTTCAACAATGTTCACAGCATAGAAACAGAGAGTCGGAAGGGGCCTCCTGGGCCATCTAGTCTGACCCCCGGCTCCACTCATGACATGCCTCCCATGTGCACATCCAGCCTATCCTTGAACATCCGCACCGATGGGGCCTCAACAACCTCCCGTGGAAGCCCATTCCACACCCTCGGGGCCCTAACCATCAGGAAGTGCTTCCTGACATCCAAGAACCTTGGATCTTCAGCCGGAGTAGATTTCATCTTAAGAAACCACTTTGTTTGCTTATCCCTAATAAGTAACCCTCATCTGTTAAAGTTTTATCATGAGATTGCAGCAATTCAGTCATAGTTAGAATAGTAGCATCAAAGATCACAGATCACCATAACAAATATAACAGGAATGAAAAAGTTTGAAATACTGTGAGAATTACCAAAATGTGGCACAGACACGAATTGAGCAAATGTTGTTGGGAAAATGGCACCAATAGACTTGCTCAGTGCAGGACTGGCACAATCCTTTGATGTGTAAAAAGCACAATATAATGAGGTAGGCCTGTATTTTAGAGGTTATGTTGTGGGAATTGTTTGCTTGTTTTGCCATCAGTTGTGCTACATCTTAAACCCTGTGATTATGCAAACTCTATTTCATTTGTGATTATTGTATTATGTTTTCAGACTACCTTGAGGACACTTAAAAATAGCCAGTTAACTTCATCAGCATTTTGTTTCTTTGTTAGATTCATTACTTCTGGCTCTACCACAATAAAAGATAAAACTTACCCCTTTTCTTCCTAAATAATGTGACATTAGGAAGTATGTAGATGCACAGGTTCATTAGGATTTGGTGTGTGTGGCCGAGGTCTCTGTGGGTTCTGCTGAGTTATAAAATATCAGCATTTGAAAGGGTGACTGGAAGATTTAGAATAGAAAAGTTAAGTGTGCAGCTCAGTGTACTTCTGGGACCTTTTATGAACAGGGCTTATCGGAGCTGGTAGAGCTTGGAAGGGCATGGAAGAGGCAGGACGTATGTCGACTGAATGTTACCGGCATTTGGATGCGATGTATATTTCACAGATGAGGATTTGGGTTGGTTGGTCTTGGAATGATCAGGGCTTAGGACTGAGTACAGGGAAAGGTGGCTTTGGGAAGGGGGTGTTACTTTGCTACTAACAGTTTGTACTATATGCCTGTGGATTGACAAAGTGCTTTTTGTTAGAAGAGCCGTGCTGGATCAGAGCACGGGTCCATCTAATCCAGCATCCAGCCAGCTGGCCATGGACAATCTACAAGCAGCACACTGATGTTCTCCAGCGACTAGTGCATGTGGGTGTGCTGCCTCTGATACTGGAGGAATTCAGGCACCAGTCCCAGTCCCCTTTGAGGGCCATCCAGATGGGTGCCCATCGTGACATCTGGTGGAAGTGAGGAAGCCTTTTTACCAGTCCTCAGCCTCTCATCCACGCACTTCAAAGCTGCTTGTAAACAGAACAAGCAGCAGAGCTGTGCTGGATCAGACTTTCCCTCTGCCCTGCATCTTGGGCAAATGTTGTCCAGCTACCAACCCGTGGGAAGCCTCCAGGCAGGAGTGTAACAGCTTGAAGTATATGAATGTTTCAAAGATATTTTGAAGCTGTGGAACTTTGGGGTCCTTGAGAGCACACATTTTGGTCCTGTGCGAAGTTGTCTCATCGCACAGTTCTGCAGCAGGCAACCTTTCCCCATATGACACATGGCCAAAAATAACATGCAGCTGT